GGAAAGAGTCACATGAGGGTAGAATAATAAAAGAAAATTCGGCTTTTCTCTTCCACTTGCCTGTGAATAGGGAGCCAGGAGAGGAACACATTCTCCTACTGCCTTTCTGCAGCACTGCAGGTTGAAAGGTCTTCACATTCACTGTATACCTGTTCAGCAGAGTGTTTATGAAAATGCAGATTCCTGAATAGTCTAGAAATAGCTCCCTGGAAGAGATTCCCATTTCCTCTTCTCCTCTGCTTTGGCATTAAACCTTTGCAAACAGAGTCCTCACATCTGCAGTATGTTTTCAGTTATTAGAGTGAGTTTTATGGCTGTGGAGGATCTGGGAGTAATCCAGTCCCTAAGCATCTGTGACTTGGGTGTTTAGAAAACTGTAAGCTGCAAAGATGGCTGAAATGGGACAGAATGGACAAAAACAGCAGAGAGAAAGAGAGGAGTACGTGAGAGGGGCGAAAAAGAAGAGAGGAAATTTAAGAATGCAGGCATATGAACTGGTTTTGGGAAGAGTAAAGCATTGAAAGAAAAATCAAAGTGATGGGAAATGGCAGAAAAAAAAAAACACTTAAAGTGGTCTATGTTGTAGAAAGAAAAGTGGAGTCAAGAAGCAACATTGTGAGACACTACATTTGCATTCATTGCCTGTTAATAGGATATTGATTTATAACTTTACAGCGACATGTACAGTAGAAAATATTTTCCTGTTACAGCCCTTACGTTGCAGGGATGTAGTAGCCTGAGCTCTCCTTGTCCTTTTAAGAGATATTTGTACCTGTGGCAGAGCCACGTTCTTGAGTGAGTGGTATTTAGGCATTCTCTTCTCCCCTGGCCTACCTCCATGTGATCATGTTTTTACATAGGCTTAGAGTTCTACACAATTAGTGCAATGTAGTTTAAAACAAAATGGCATTTGTAAGTTAGATGTGATTATATCAGCCTTGTAGGCAAGTTCTTTGAGGTTTTTTTAAGCTCTCTGCAGAAGACGGTGCCTTTCAAACTGAAGCCTGCTTTCCTGTATTTTATTTTAAATCAGATTATTGGAAGAATTTGTAAATCATATCCAGGAATTACAGGTAATGGATGAAAGGATTCAGAGAAAGGTGGAGAAACTGGAACAGCAATGCCAGAAGGAAGCAAAGGAATTTGCCAAGAAAGTACAAGAGCTGCAGAAAAGCAACCAGGTAAAATCTAAAAAGAGTATAGTCAGTGCTAAGCTGTGCAAGTTTGGAAAGCATCTATTAACATTTCCTAGCACAGCATGTTACTGTTTGAGATAAGAATAAAGAGGGTTTGATGGAAAAGCATTTCCCCTGTCAAAGGGGGCTTATCTGCATATTCCATTGATGAGTCTTAGCTATTCAGAAAGTAGAGAATCTTCACAATAGTGCGAAGGAAGACACTAAACTTTTAAGCAGTTGTGTGTTACTGAATTAGTGGTTCTGTGTAGTTCTGTAGTTCTGAGATGCAGCACTTAGAAAGCTGATGCTTACTTTCACTGTTCTTCTTACTGGAGTAAATCTGGTGTTTCCTAAATGGCAGTAAGTGGAAATGAAGAGTTGTGTCTGTGTTCTCCCAGGTTGCCTTCCAGCATTTCCAAGAACTAGATGAGCACATCAGCTATGTAGCAACTAAGGTCTGTCACCTTGGCGACCAACTGGAGGGGGTAAACACGCCACGGCAACGGGCAGTGGAGGCTCAGAAGCTGATGAAATACTTTAATGAGTTTCTGGATGGAGAGCTGAAGTCTGATGTTTTTACAAACTCTGAAAAGGTAAGAGCTGTCAGCGGGATGAAAGCAGTTCAAAGCAATAAGCAGGACTGCCCTAATTACAAGCTGCTACCGTGACTTACCATGGTCAGACTTCAAACCAGTGAGTGACCGACTTGTTAAAGTTTCATTGTTCTGAAATGTAAATTAACAGCACTGGGCTGCAGATTGCTGATAGAGCGTTTGTATTCAGTGATGCTTAATGTGGCAACGTTGGCATGTTTCATTTTATGAAATTATCAGAGATTTGAGAAGCTCTGGGAGGGCAACTTTAGAGTGCATACAATATCTGCCTTTTCCCTTTGAACCCCGTGCCTCAGATCCACCCTCTAATGCAGAATGTTTCTGAATACAACTTCTTTGTGAAGCTTTACTCTGTTGGGTCAGTCCACTGGCCTTGGATACCTTTTTGTCACAGCATGCCTTTGGGCTTTGTGTAGTCCTGTGGTTATGTCTCCACCCTCTGAATTTAGAGGAACTGGGCAGGAAAACTTCAAAGGAATGTTAAAGCATTTTGTTTTTCTTATACTTCAAGATTATGTTCACGAAGCAAATACAATCTGAATGGTGTAACTAATAGAAATAAACTAAGGGAAGAGTGCCCAGCTGTAAGCAAAAGGGCACATACTAAAATTTCCCTGTGCAGTTTGAAAGATACTTGAAGTTGTTGGTTTGGGTTTGTTTTTTTTTTGAGGTGTGTCCTGAAGACTCTCCCCGCTCTCCTTAAATTCTGTGCAGTGGTGTGATTGTTGTCAGGAAAAAATTATAGTATGTGGGAACAGCAAAAACTTGGCCTGCACATTCAGCAAAAAACAAATGTGCTTGAAATGCAGCTCATAAAGGACCCGGGAATAGATTAATAGTCATCCCCTCTATACTGGGCTGAAGGCATCTCTCAGGGAAATGAAAAACTAATCAATTCATGTACTTGTATTCTCAAGAAGCCAATTGTATAGTGACTTTCAATTCATAGTGTGTGCATATGTGGTAATTACCAGTTGATAGTTTGCCTTAATCAAAGAAGCAGCATATAAAAATCTCTGACTTTGAAGGAAAACAGAAAGATTTCAAAACAACAAAAGTTCTTCTATGGACAGCCTTTTCCAGATCTCTGTAAGATTTGGTTTTGGCCTTTTTCTTTTTCCCCCCCTAAGTGGATAATAAAATATGCCTTTAAAAAATTTTTAATGGCAACGTAATAAATCACAAAGCATAAGTTTGAGAAGTGTGTGTTGCCTGCTCAAGAGTCTCATACAGAATTCAACTTAAAGTTCTGTAATACTGTCTGTTAGAGGATATGAGAAAAATAGTACATAAATAGGGTAAACCTGGAAATTGGTAAGCAAATTGATCTTTATATGCCTGAAGAATAAGACATTCAACAGATTTGGAGGAAGACAAATATAAAGGCCAGTCTTGTGCCAGTCTGCAGAGGAAGTGTGTGCAGACACAAGATTTTCTGGATGCAGGTTATCTTACTGAGACTGATACCAGTCAAGGTGGGCCGGTACTGTTCTGTAACTTCTGCCTTCTAGTTTAACTAGTAAAAGAGCCTGCCTAGGCATGTGCTATTACATCTTAAGGCATCTCTGAACTAAACAATAGTTCTAAAATACCAGATAATAAGAAATATTCTTAAATGTAAGACCATAATGCTTTGTCAGAGTCCTCTGATCTTTGAGCTGATGTGGGGTTTAGGTATTGTTTTGGAGGATGTGCTGATTTTATTTTTTTTTGTACTATGCCATCCCTCACAAATGTAGAGTTGTCTGTGAGATATTGAGAGTAGGGGGTGCTGTGAAAGGAGATGCAAGAAAGGAATTATAGTCCAGTTATTTCCTAGGGAATTACTGTCAGTTTTCAAAATTTGCTGGCATCCTTTTTTCCCTAACATGAAGTTGATATTTCCCACATTACTGTCTCCTAGGCTTACTGAGCCATTTCTAACTTACCATCTCTGTGAAGGTTTTTCCTTGCTGCCTTGTGTCACACTTTGGATTGTGTGTCTCCATCCTCTGAATCCACATAATTTCTCTTGCACTGCCAGCTAACCATTCCATCTCCTGTACTGAAGAGTCTTGAAGTGAGTTAGTCACTCTAGTTCAAACAATTAAAACTATCAAAGTGATCTAGCACCTCACTTGTTTATTGTGCAATAGCATTGTCCTGTGTTAAATGTTTGCTATTATTCTTAGATCCTTTCCTCCATTTATGTTCTGTATGCAACATTATTCCATTAGTGCTTTTAACTTGTTCATAGAAATATTTTGTGCTGAAATTCTCTCTTGCTAGTCTGTCCACGATTGTTCAGATTGTTTTATGGTATATGTTATAGCCTTTAAATTGTATTTTACATAATCTATATTTATTTTGTTTTAATAGTTTACAGAAGCCTGATTGAATTAAAAATTAAATATGTCCAGACTTAAGCACAAAGCATGGAGAACTGATTTGTCATGGCTTCTGTTGTGCATAAGAGAAGGCCCCGAATTCAATAAAATCTAAGTTAGTTAACAGCTCCCCAAAGAAAGTGTTGTGGTTTTGAGGTGTTTTGGTTGGGTTTTTTTGTGACATCAGTGAATAACTGCTAATATATGGGCTGTTCTAATGACACAGGTATTGATCACAATGGTCAGGTATTCAGCTTGCTGTAAGCTAATAGAAATGGCTGCTTTTCATTGGATTTATTTGAGGAGCGTAGCTGCTTTTGACTTGTGGCTGTTTTAAGCTGACAGTTCCAAACGTAAGCTGCTCTTAATAAGCACAATGGGTGTGTTTTATGAGAGGCCCTGTTTTTCCTCAACAACAGCCTCGTGTGATGCCTACAGTCTATGTTCTTACCTGTGTGACTTACTCTGTCCTTGAAAAGTTTTAATCCCAACCTGCTCTAAGTAGTGGGAAGCTGGGGTTTCATTCCTTCCTTTCCTCTCACTCCACTTCTCTGGAACATGATTAACAGGTATGTTAATGTGAGGTGCTCCAGCTATGCTCTGCTTTGATCCCCTTGTTCCCCTTCCAACCCCTCTCCATGCTGACCACTGTCATGGCTGTTTTTGGATACAGCTATGCAGCTCATTTCATTGATTGCAGAGAATTGCCCACTGCTTTTCTTGACTTGTCTGGAAGGGTTGCTTGCCATTTCACTTCTGAGTTCAAGAGAGATCTCTTCTGTCTGGGTGTGAGTCAGCAAGACTTTTATCCTAATCACTTGAAGAAGAACAGTGTTGCAGTTCAGCTAGATCTGTGTTATGGATATGTGTTTTATTCCCAAATGGAAGGGTGCAGATTTTCTTCAGACTGTTCTAGCCACATTCTGAACTAATCAGCCCTGAGGAATCTTTAGTCTGCCAACTGTATGGCTATAATACAGTGGTGAGCTGTTTGTCCAGCTAGCTTAGACACCTGCACAGGTGTGCCCAATGGGAACAAAGAATAAAAGACAGGTCATGTTTGACCTGTATAAATACATGTTAAACAAGCAAACCCTAAAACCTGAAGCATCCTAAAAGTACACACAGGAACTTAAGGGGATGATCTCTTCCATGGGTATATCAGCTCAACCAGCTTTAGAAATAGGAACTATATGTATGAAAACTGGACAGTGGATGGGAAGGAAAGGAATAGGTCACAATCAGACCTTCTTTAATAATTCTGTCATATTTTACTCTTCACAGATCAAAGAGGCAGCTGATATTATTCAGAAACTGCATTTGATTGCACAGGAACTGCCTTTTGACAGGTAAAATTCTATCTGAACACCTTAAAAAAAGATAATCTTCAAATAGCTATAATTTTCTGATGCTTCCCTTGTCTACTTTTTTGGTGTTTTACTCAGTGATTCATGCAGCTTTTGGGATGGATTGTGTGCTTATTTCTCTCTCCTCTATTCTCAGTTTGTGTTCACACACTCATGTTGTACTCATCTTTACATACACATCCTAAACTGCTTAACAGACTTTTAATGGGATAATTTTGCTGTGCTGACTTAATGCTAGATTTGAATTAGATGCTTGTAGGTTTTTATGGATATAAAGCATGTAACTTTTCTGTCATCTTTGTGCTACACGCTTTCATTTTTAAGTAGAGTGCCTGTTATTCATGATCTAGGATGTCTGTAATTTCTCTTGTGATGTGGATTTGAATTTAATCATGGCATTTTTGTTGTTAACAGGTTTTCTGAAGTAAAATCAAAGATAGCAAGTAAGTTATATACCCAGTTCAATCCATATTCCTATATTTGAATTGTTAAAGATGATAAAAGAAGTATGTAATACTGTCAGCATTACAGTTTTTGTTGGTGCTTATATTGCATAGCCTGATGGATTTTTTTTGTTATCCCCTCTCCTTTCCAGGTAAATACCATGATTTAGAGTGCCAGCTAATTCAAGAGTTTACCAGTGCACAGCGGAGAGGCGAAATCTCCAGAATGAGAGAAGTAGCAGCAGTTTTACTTCATTTTAAGGTAAAAATTGGGGGATTTAATTTAAATATAGACATAAAACAAACAGGTGCTTAATGTGTCATGGGTTTAAGTGAACATGCTTGCATGTGCACAACCAGCATGCCAGATAACACTTATATCTTCAGATAACACTTATATCTTCAGAGATACTGGGGTGTCCCATCTGAAACCAAATGGAGGGGACTAAAAGAGGCAGATGATGGGGGACTGGAAGCAGTGTCAATAGAAGGCATTCTAAGAGAATCTTGTATGGCTGTGAACTGACTTTTGTGCTTGAGGGGGTGTTGAAACTTGTGGTGCATATACATGTGTAGTGGTGGTAAGTGTAGGTTTGGGACAAAAATGGGTTTGAAAGAGTCTACACTTTCTATTAATCTATTTTTTTTTTTTGCAATTACTTTCAAAGGGGTTGTATTTCCTACACTGAAAGCATGGAGAACCTGCTTTAACTTTGAGTTGTTTTGCTTCTTCCACAGGGCTATTCCCATTGCGTTGATGTGTACATAAAACAATGTCAAGAGGTAATGCATTTTGTTTTACATGTATCTCTTTGGGTGTTGACTTAAGCATACAGGTGGTTGTAAATATATTATGAAATGTGCTTCTAAAACCCTAGGGTGCATTCTTGAGGAATGATGTCTTTGAAGATGCAGCCATTCTTTGCCAGCGAGTGAATAAGCAAGTTGGAGAAGTCTTTAGCAATCCAGAGACTGTCCTTGCCAAACTCATTCAAAATATCTTTGAAGTTAAACTTCAGGTATTTCAAATTTTAACATGCTGAATCATAGAGTTCGATGTATTTCAAATTTGAATCTGCTCAAATTCCTTGAGGAAAAGTTTTCATCTAGAAATATTGTATCTTGTAATAGCAATTAATGATAATTTACAATATTTGTAGTCTTATATAAGGATACTGAGTCACAGCTGATTGCTCTGTAAAAGTTCAGACATAATCAAGCCTGTATCAAATAGAGCAGCTTGGGCTCAGAATGCTGTATAACTGCAAATACTCAAATTAAATAAGTAAAAGTAAGTAAAATAAGTAAGTGTGTTCATTAGCTAATCACAAGATTTCATACATACATTTGATTTCTTCTGTATGCCTTCTGCCACGAACATGTCAGGAAAAGAAGTCTTATGTTTAATAAGTATCTTTAATATGTTCATTCTTGCAATTAGGTTTCATGCATGAGGTTAGCATTGAATAAGGAAAAATAACTTAGGTTGCAAACACTGTCTGGCAGTTAGTGCAGTATTTATATGAAAGCTGGAATACTTGAAAATATTGTTTCCTATTCTGTGAAGACACTCACTGAGTGCAGTCAACAACATGACTATTTGTTTCAAAAAGCAATTTCCTTATAGATGTTCTTTTCCTTTATAGTATAGAGGTTGAGCTTGTGTTTGAACTCCAAATTTGTGTGTCAGTGTTGACTTAGTGCTTTATGGTAAATAATACTTTTGCCCAAATATTCGATGACAAGAAGACTCTAAGCTTGTGTCTGCTTTGTGTGTGTATTATGCTAAGCAAATATGAAAGTTTCTCCTTTGCTTACTGTCAGCTGCAGAAATGCCCCTAGGCCTCTGGTGCTTTTGATTTGTGAAAAGAAGAGATTTTGTATTTGTTGGTCAAGCATATTTTCAAAGCAATCTGTCTTTTGTCTTTGCTTCACACACTGCTGCTTTTTAGCATTAACTAATTTTCTTCTAAAAGATGCATATAACATTCTCTGTAGATAATGCAGGATCTGTAAATTAGAGATTTAGAAACAAAGATATGAATTACCTTAAGTAAGATACACACTTTGCAGTAAATTACATATAATCTAGCAGGTAGTGAGTAGGACCTTTGGTTGCTAGTTAATTTAACAGATGTCCCCAAATTTTACAGAGTTATGTGAAGGACCAGCTGGAAGAACACAGGAAATCAGATGCAGAACAATATCTTAAGAATCTGTATGATCTATACACAAGGTATTTATATATAGATGATGAAATCGTTGTAGATATTCTTTTGTAATAGATTGATTATCAAGATGTAGGAAGAGAAGCCAAAACCACAAACTTCTCATAAAAATTATAAACTTTTAATGGCCATTAGCCTTTACAATGATTGCTTTATTAAAGAAAATCTAAACCTGCTGTTATTATTATTTTTAATGGGAAATATTTAGTATAGTGATCTTTGAGAGTAGTTTTAAAACCTTGCAAAAGCCAGTCCTCTGCATCTCACTGGTGACTTATTTGATTGCAGTTAAACTGTATGTAATTAAACATAAATTATGGGAAATTCTTTACTTAAATGTAAAGCTGCTAGAAGCCTTCATCACAATCAGGATTCTGTTGTGCTGTGTACTTTACAAACATGTAATGCTGTAATTCATACAAATTCAACCTTTTCCTCCTCTCCCCTTCTTTGTTTCTGTTGCATAAAGAACCACTAATCTGTCAAGCAAATTGATGGAATTTAACCTGGGTACTGATAAACAGACTTTCTTGTCTAAGCTTATCAAATCCATTTTCATTTCCTACTTGGAGAATTACATTGAGGTGGAAATTGGTTATTTGAAAAGTAGGAGTGCTATGATTCTGCAACGCTATTACGATTCCAAAAACCACCAGAAGAGGTCTATTGGCACTGGAGGGTAAGTTTCTTCTGTGAAGTTTTGTACTTTTAAAATGGAAGGGAGGCAGTAAGGGGAGAGACTTAGTATTTTCCATGTCGGGTGTACAGGGATGAACTGCAAAGGAGCAGGCTTCTAAAATGACCAACAGCTTTTTATCATTTGCTATGACTGTGTTAACTTCTGCTAAAAAGTGTATTGCTCTTGGTACATGTGAAAGGTGATGCATGGTGTTTATATGCTCGTGGGAAATGAAAAATACCAGTTAAACCTATGTTTCAACTTAGGATCCAGATCCACAAAAGGACTGAAGCAAAATTAAGGTACCTAAAGCATGTATATGTGTGTATCTAAAAGCATACATTTTTTTTCACCTGCCCAGGTCTTGTGGTCCCCTCCCAAGACCTAGGAAGGGGAAAAGACCATAGCAATGTCAGTGAGAAAGCTCTTAGTGAGCCCAGAAGATGCAATGGACTTAGAGAAAGGTAAAACAAGACTTCATTATCCTCAGGGTAGAGAAACTCTAATGAAGGAGTAGTGAGAAGTGGGAAAGGAAGAAGTAAAACTTGTGTGAAGACTACTGCACCTTTCAAAGAGCTACTGGGTTCAGTGTGTCAGGAATGAAAAGTGATTTGGAGAGACCAGCAGCAGCAAAGCAGTTAAATGAACTAAAAAAAACAAGATGAAAATTTAATTTTCTTGGGGAAAATTAAATTGATTGTAGTGACTGACTTCATGGGTTTTTTTATGCATGGAAATGTATTGGAGCATGCTCGACTAAATGAGGACTGCTGAGATAGTGGATGAGAGGATCTGTGGGTGTGGATGAAGGCTCATTAGTGTTCTGAAAACACAGTGTGACTGGGTGTGGAGGCTCTGCTGCGTCCGCAGGGCAGAAGTGCAATAGGACCCAATTGAAATTACTCTTATTCCAGGATGGGGAATAGCTGGTCCCATGGTGTGAACGTGCCATGGTAGAACACAGTTGACTATGGGATCAGAGGTGGTAGTTTTGCATTTATAGCTTTTTCTTTCTTAAGCTTGCAAGACTGTCTTAATGCTTGCATATCCTAAACTGTGTCTTGGGTTCTGTTTCTTAAGTTAACAACTAAAATATCCTAAATCAGTGTTGAATTTGAGCATCCAAATTGCATCCAGTGAAATGTTCTTTTGATGTACCTTTGTCCTAGTATTCAAGACCTCAAGGAGAGAATCAGGCAACGTACAAACTTACCATTGGGGCCAAGTATTGACACACATGGAGAAACTTTTCTGTCGCAAGAAGTGGTGGTTAACCTTTTGCAAGAAACTAAACAGGCTTTTGAAAGGTGTCACAGGGTAAGTTTGCTTCCAGTGATCTCTGTTAGCCATAAAATTTTGTGTGTAAAGTTAAATCTCAAGATTAAATTTTCTGTCAGATATGATAGGAAGGAAAGATGTTCCTAAACAAATTGATTCTCTTGTATTTTTCACTCAGGGTCATAGTGGAGGCTGAGAGTTTGCTTTTTCAAAGTGTGTCTAGTTGTATTTTGTGGGTTTTCATACTGGTTTTGGTGAAGTGGGGAGGATTAACCCTATTGCCTATACATAGCTTTTCTTACTACATTAGACCCAACACTTGAGAAGTCTTTAGTGTAATTTTTTATTTCCTTCTTTAAAAATACAGAGAATAGTTCAACAGTTGTTTTTCTCTGTTGAGTGCATTAGAGAATATCACAAATCAAATGCTGAGAAGAATAATCTTTAACATGGTTTACATTAGTAACCCTCTACGTTAAATGCTTTAGTCTAACAAAAAAATGTTTTCCTTCTGATTAAATCACTGATTTTACTGCCTGTCAATCACTGCTAGTCTGATACTTCAGTGTAAATGAAAACTCTTGAAATTGAGTTGCAAATTTAAATATTAGGGATTTTTTGAATGAGCTAACTACACTGATTTCTGACATTTTAATGCCTCTAATAGTCTAAATTAGCTTAGTGCAGAAAAAGTTAACATTTTCAATATTTAGATATTTTTAACATTTTATATGCTTAGAGGAGCCAAAGATAAAATATACTTAGATGTACACAGTGGGATTAGCACCTTCCTCGTGGTGAAAGTCAGTGACTGCAAGACAAGCAGGTAGATTACTTTTGTCACTGCAGCAGTTGCTAGAAATGGTTGTTAAATTCATGATACAAACTAAATTTTTCCTCTTGTACAAAAATTCTGTCCTGTGGCTATCGGAATTCTTCACATCTGGTCTGAAAGCAATTGTATGTGTGGGAATAGGAACCAGTGCTAAGTGGATCTTGGCATATAATGAGATTTTTAGAATTATAGGTGTATAAATTCTCTGTTACCATACATGCTGGAAGTTAAAAGTGTCCCTGGCTGGCTAATTTTAATATGTACACCATATGACATATGCATCCAGATACACTCTGTCCTAACTGTTACAGCTTTAGGAAAAATAAATTGATAATTCTGAATGTAACCATATATTGCAACATTTTGGTGTTTGGATATCTCTGTCATGGTGATTTCTTATTTGGGTTTTTGGTTTGGGTTTTTTTTTTTGGTAATACAGCAGAAGTCTTTAGGAGTTTTGCTGCATAAATTAACTTGAATTGCAGTAGTCATTGTTCTTACTCCTAGCTTCATAAAGTCTTTGCATAATTCCTTAAAAACCAAATCCATCTTTATGTGCCAAAGCCCTGACACGCTTTTCTTTAGGAAAGGGATTTACTGACAGGTTGCTGTCCAAATTCCCTTGTTGCTTGCAGCTCATGAAGGTACAGATGCTCTCTGTATATGTGAGCTTTACTTCACTTAATAAAAATTTTCATGCTCCATTGACTCCAGCTGAACTGTGATAAATGTAGCTGAGGTTCAGGCTGTATTATTTTTTTCTGCAGTAGTGTGGCAGTGATAGAAGAAGAGCTGCACTAGGTGAGACTGGAGATCCATCTAACCCAGTGTCCCCTTTCTGGCTGTGGCTGGAGACATTGTGGCCAGTTTATTGATACTAAAGGCTGCTCCTGAATAATTCTCTGCATGGATACTTTTCATTTAGAATAAAATTCCAATTATTGTGGAGTACTTGTTAAACTTTAAGCTTATCCCCTATGCAGGATTAGATAAACTTTCAAATATGTGTGGAACTGACCTTTAGGATCTTTTTTTTTTTTTTTCTTTTTCTCTTTAAAGCTCTCAGATCCATCTGATTTACCAAAGAATGCCTTTAGAATTTTTTCTATGCTTGTAGACTTCTTATGTACTGAACACATTGATTATGCTTTAGAAACAGGCCTTGCTGGTGAGTATTGTATTTTCTGAGCATTTCATCTCATTAGACTTTTTGTGCAGATGATCTCTGCAGGTCTTTGCTGTGCCTTATTGATTGGCCTTGTTCAGAATATACTGTTTAAATGAAATCTGTTTGTATTTGGGAGTCACTCTTCTAAAGTGTAACTTTTATTCTGAGGAACTGATGCACAGATGGAAACATGCTACTGTCTTCAAAAACATTTGTATCACAAAAATTGGGACTCCCTACCTATTTCACTTTTCCATAACAGGAGAATATTCTTATATTAAGGCTTAGTATCTTAGGTTTCATAATAATTACTTTATTGTTTGTATATCTGTACAATTTCAAGAGGGACAGTAAATAAGAAAGCTTCTTCTATTAAAAAAGTTCATCTTGACAGTGAGAACCTATTTTTC